CAGCGGCCCCCCCGGCCAGCTTTCCCCAGTTTATGTACTAAGCATGACGTCACATGGTATGGAATGTTTCTTTGGCCAGTTTGGCTGTGCCCCCTCCCAGCTTCTTGTGCACCTCCAGCCTTCTCAGTCAGTAGAGCATGGGAAGCTGAAAAGTCCTTGACTAGTGTAAGCATTACCTAGCAACAACTAAAACATCGGTGCGTTATCAACTTTGTTCTAGTCCTAAATCCAAAACACAGCACTGTACCAGCTACTAAGAAGAAAATTAACTCTATCCCAGCCGAAACCAGGACAGAAGCCCTGCACAGCTCCAGGCTGGAGAACGTGGCGGGGAGGCTGTAGTTACCAGGGATGTTCCAAACTTGGCTGCACAAGGCAGTGGGCAGCCTGACCTAGCGTTGGTACTAGCACTGCGGTGAGCCCGGGGTTGGGCAGGAGACCTCTAGTGGTGTTCTCCAGCAGAAATCCTGCTATGAAACTATTGCTGAAATTCACAGCTTCGTATTTCCCTGTCTTATAACTCACATTACAGTGAAGTGAATGAGATTCAATGATAGGGAATTTTGGACTGATAGGACATATTCTTCCTGCTGTAAGATTGTCAGATTTGTTGCAAGAAGATGCGCTTATGGATGGATAACAACAATTCTACTGGGAAACGCTTAAAATTAAACCAACCAACAACCCCCACCCCCCTGCAACTTCTCTCAGGAACACTTGGCCTGCTTCTGCTCCTAGAGGAGTGGAAGGGGAGACTTCCTGGTAGTAGATTTCCCCCACAAGAGAAGCAGCTGACACTGGAAGATCCCTGGACTGCACAGACTATGTGACTGAGAGGGGCTGGTTATTCATCCTTTAAATACACTTGTTTCAGGCTCAGGTCTGTGCTTTCCCCTCCATGCTGTTGCTCTCTGAGGCCTTAGGGACTCAGATTTGGCACTGCCATGGAAGGGCGTGCTGCACTGGCAGTGGAGTATTCATCTGGGGTGGTTTTGTCTCAGTCATCAAGTGATGCTACAGGAAACACTTTTTCAGCAAACTTTTGGTCCTTGAATCTGAATACTTAGAACCCATTTGGTCAAGACCCTGAGTAACCTGATCTAGCTTCAGAGTATGAGTGGTAGGGAGTCTGAAAGGTAGAAAGAGCTTTAAAGGCCAGAAATAACTGCTGTTCCCTCTCCTGTGTGTCCCCTTTTTCCTTCTCTCTTCCTGCCTCCCTGGTGCTCAGGCCCAGAACGCCATTCGGAGCCTTGAAGGCCTTGAGGGGCTAGGGCAGCTGATGACTCTGCACCTGCGTGACAACCACCTCGAGACCCTGGACGGATTCTGTAGTAGCATGAAGTGCCTGCAGTACCTCAATCTACGGTAGGTCCTCCCTGCTCTCTGTCAGGACCAGAGATTCCTTCACCAGGCTGTACTCCCATTTAGGTCTTTAGGATTTTCTGGTTCCTTTGGAAGTTGAAGACCTGATGGGAATGGGTTGATCTTTACCGTCCTTAATTGGTGTCCAGTGCTCAGCTGTCTAGGAGTATAACAGCCAGGACCTTTCCTGGGCTTCTCAGGAAACAGCTACCTCTTCAGTCATTCTCAGACCCCACCTCATACTTTTTATTCCTTGCCATAACTCCTCTGGATCCCTCTCTGCGTGTTCTCTGTGTCCTGGACATGACACAAGCGCCCTTTACTTTTCGGCATTTGCCATACAAGGGCGATGGTGATATCAGATAATTCAGTGGACTGTTTGAGCACACTTTTTGAGAGAAATCCAGAGATGTCCTTTTTGTCCCTCAGTCTGGGGAGCTGCAGACAGGTCTGGATCTTAGATCACAGGTCTGTGGTCTGAGGTCTACGGTCTATCATGCTGCTAAGTTTTGCTTTGTCTGCCTTGTCAGCTTACTGTTCCGAAGGGACCTCGCTACTCCTATGTGTCTCTTTCCCCTGCCCTCTGTGCTTCCTCTTCTTCAGGAACAATGGGATCAGCAGCCTTCAGGAGGTGGCAAAACTGCAGGTCCTCCCCATGCTGCAGGCACTGGTGCTGTTGGACAATCCATGCTCTGATGAACCCAATTACCGGCTGGAGGTCCTGGTCCTGCTGCCACACCTGCAACGCCTCGACAAGGAATTATTTGAGCAAGATGAGCGGGCAGAGGCGAACAAAATCTGTCAGAAAAGACAGGAAGAAGAAAAGGTGAGAACAGTATGGCGGGGGAAGGAGAAGGAAGTGAAGGGACAGAGAGAGGATCAAACATGCTGATCAAGCCTCTCCTCCTGTAGATTACACGAGGAGAAGGCTGAGGGAGGTCAGTCCCAAGGGCAGAGGAGCCTGAAACAGAGACCGGGCTTCGCAACCTGATTGTGATGGCCAGCATCGCAACCCTACTGCCATTCCCGGCCCCACTAGCAGACCTGAGTGGTGAAAGGGGAAAAGAAGTCAGGCGTGGAGTCATTTAACTTCTCCCTCTTTCCTTCTTCAGGAAATGGAGGGATCTCTCCAGGGTGATGTGAATGAGTGACCCCTGGTTTTAACGCCTGTTCCCAGAGCCAGTCAAGATTTGGAGATGGCCTTCCCCCACATGTGCAGCTGGGGAAGTGAGAGCTGCAGGTAGCAGAGCTACCTTCACCTCATTTTGCCCCTGGAGAAAAGAGGAGGGCTACCCACCTTGGCCCTGGAAGCCGCCCTGAGGTACTGCAGTGTTTTTGCAATCACTGCGCTCATATGCTCCATTCTCAGTAGGCCCGAGAGGGAAAAGGGGAAAGGGGAGAGTTACAGGTTCTGTGGTTCGATTCATGGCTCCCAAAAATCCTACAAGATTTTTTGATTTGAATAAAGATAATTAATGAGCCGGGAGTGACTGGAACTGTTTATCCTGCACACCCACTCCTATTCCCTGGCTCTCTCACCCTCGTCTGTCTATGTCTATCCCCTGCCTGTCTCTCTCTCTCTTTCTCTCTCCATCCTCTACGTGCTGTTTGCAAAGCTTTGCTAAATCCTGACTCATCGCAGCTCTGGGTCACATGCTGCTGTCCCGGCCCTATCAGGGGCGTCTCCATCCTGCTGCCGCCGCCGCTGTTGGCTTAGAGGACACATCATCTCCCCTTGAGGTCCTGCATCCCTCCTCAGCTTCGTCCTCTCTCCTTTCTACCAGCACTTTCTCAATCTCTCGTTCACCCCTGCCCTAAGAAGGTAAGTGTCTCCCCACGGCCAGCACCCCCTCACCGCATGCATGTTCCTGCTCCCCACCCTGTGCCCTCCAAACCCCACACGCACTTTGGGGTCCCTGCGGAGAAGGACCACGGTGAGCGGCATTAGCAACTAAACTCCCCTCACTTCCTCCCCCTGCTCCTCCCACCTCTTTCTCCTCACCCCCACCCTTCTCACTTTTCTTTCATATTTTAATTTCAGGTACTCCCTCCTTCCCTACCCCCGGCAAGCATCATTTCAGATGTGAACCTAGGGAGTTGCAGGAGGGGGGCAACCGACAAGGATAGGTGGTGCTCCCAAGGGCATTGCTGGGAGGTGCTGCGGGATGGAGCTTTACCTGGGGGAGGGGGGTGGTAGTGGGGAGGAGGCGAAGCTCAGTTTGGGCACTGCTGGGGAAAGGACCCAGGCTCAGAGCAGACCAGCCCCCCAGCCTCCCGAGGTGTTGACATAAACACAGGCGTTCAGCCGGGTCCCAAGGAGAGGGAGGGAGGGAGGGAG